CCTCGCAGACACAAGCTTGTTGCCATCCGCATCGACTTCATCACCGAACCTGTTGCGGAAGGGTTGGAAGGCGAAGAATTTGTTCATGAGACTGGTATCGTATCCCTCCATCACAACGCAAAGCGAAATGACGAAAGAAAAGACGATGGCCTTCCACCAGAACCTCAGGGACTGTCGGACGGACATGTTGTGCTCATTGTTGATAGCTGCGTTGGTGTCGTCTCCGGTGTTGTGGCCTTGTGTCGAGGTGACCCTTTCGGCGGCCACATGGCCAGTAGTCTTCTCTACTGAAGCCATAATGAATCCAGTCCAGAAAATGCCCCGTATCAGAGATGGGTCTTCGGTGTTGATGGGTTGAGAAGATGCAGGTCAACCACATGTACGGATCTGCGATCTATATAGTCCCCAGGGCTGTGGTATGCATGCCTGACAGACGAACCCATTACAGGAGTCAAATGGCTAGCCCGAGAGCTTGGGAAGCTAAGCCCCGGTAATGACCGAAATGGGGCAAGACCGCGGTGAGTTGCGGGGAAAGACATTCAGGACAAGAGTGCCCATGGGGAGACGAGGCGTCAAGTGCGCAAATGAGGCCAATCAGAACCCCGACGAGGTTTGCCCGGGCACCAGATCGCGAGAGGATTTCAAGAAAGTTTTCCTCGAGGTTTCCGCCGCTATCGTCACTTGGCGGACCCGTCCCGACTCTAGTGTTGCAAAGAAAGCCAGGGCCCAGAAGAAGGACTCGCAGCAACCCTGGAAGGAACCCTTTTCTTCTCATTATGCGCTATAACATAACATGTGAGCTCTCATAAGGCGATTGAAGCAACGTAATGCTCTGAGTAGGACAATTCTCTCGATTCAATCTACCACAGTGTTGTTGTTGTTTTGGGAGAACTGCCCGTTGTCAGCCCGAGCGTGTTTCCAACTTCCGATGCCACGCTAGCCGAGGCAATGTGTCTGCACGAGCCAAGCAGACCCGCTTTCTGACCCCGACCTGAGCTTTCCACATGAGTTTTCCACGTTCCATTCACGTTCCATCCACTTCATCCCCAGGTTCTTGCGCAAGTCCGACAAGCTATGCGCAAACCATCCGCCTGCCAAGCGTGCCGGTAAGCATCTTGCACGTTGTCAGTGGAGGCGAGCGCCCGCTAATTCGGTTGGAAGTACCCGACGCCGAAAATGCATCTACCCAACAGGCGGGCTCGCAACGGCATGCGAGTATTGCTTGTCACATGGCCTGCAGTGTCTCCAAGGCCCGCCAGAAGGAGGCTACTATGCCAAACGCCGGGCTAGACTTCAAGAACTGAGTCGGGTACATCGCGCTCTCCCAGACCAAGCGGAAGCACTGCCAAATCAAGGTCATGACGATCTGCCACCGACTGCTTTGAGGCAGGCGCTGGTGGAGCTATACTTCGACTACATTCACGACCAGTTTCATTCCATGTATCACAAGGCGTCGTTCATGGACGATGTCGTAAACAACCGAGTACCGTCTATCGTGCTTTTCGCGATATGTGCGCTGGCTGCCAGGTTCTCTACCGACAGCTTCTTCGACGGAACTGATCCGAGAGAAAGAGGCGAGGTCTACCGCAAGGCAAGCGAGAGATTGTTCAACATGCGCGACCTCACACCTATCACAATCCAAGCATGCGTTTTACTGGGAGCATACGCTGCCGCGGGTGGTGAGACTGATGTCGAAAACATGTACTACAGCATGGGTGGACGACTTTGTCTGGCCCTCGATCTACCAAATCGACCCGTCACAAGTCTGGTAGAGCGCGAAGTCAACATCAGAACTTGGTGGACACTGTGCATGGTAGATGTTTGGTCATCTACTGCGGTGAGACTACCCCGAATCATGCCGTTTGACACTGCTGTGCCTCTTCCAATTGATGAGATACCGTTCTCTATGATGAACGACGGGGCTATCAGCGACCAAACGCATGGCATCACCTCACCTCTTCTCGCGGAGATGATCAAGCTCAATCGGATTCTGGCGAGGATCATCGACTTCAATCGACTGTGCGTGTCAGAACACCTTGAAGGCCTACCGCTTGAGAAAGGGATACGCGAACTATCCCGCGATCTCGATATCTGGTTGGAGGAAGTCCCGCACCATATGCGTGACACGCCAGCAAACCTGACAGCCTTCGCATCGCGTGGCCTTGGGCGTATGTTCGTAGCTGTGTATCTCGGTTACTACCACTACGGGCTGCTCCTGAACTATCAATTCTTGTCGTCTTCCATTGAAGCATCACCTGACTCCGGACGATATGCTGATGCCTGCAAGCAACATGCCGCCCGACTCTGCGCCCTCGTCTACCGCTCACAGTCAACACCTGGGAGCGAAGTCTTGTATCCGGCAGTTTCGCATATCCTTGTCGTTGCTTCTACCGTTCAAATCCACACCTTACTCTTTTCTGGTGACGAAAGCCAGATACGCATCTCAAAGACCAGATTGGAACGCAACTTCGAGATACTCCTGCGGCTGAAGACCTATTGGCCGAGTGTCGACGGTGCAATGAGTCGTCTTCGGGCGTTCCACCAGACCTGTCTCCGAAGCAAAGAGACCAGCTTTGTGCTTGATCGGTGGCTATTGCGCTTCCTGGTCCAATTTGCCCCTCACATGGAGCTCGAGCCAAGGGATAACGACCCCGAGTACGAAGCGTTGCTCGCATTGAGCAGGCAATCCCCATTGTCGTGCTATTCAGGCCTGTCCATGTGATCATGCGCGACCGAGATTCTAAGCAGTACGCTGGGAATCCTGGAGAACGAGGATGGCAGCGAAGTGGTTCATTACGGCTCAAGCTGGTGGAGCCGAAACTAGCGTCGCGAAACTTACGAGCTTTCCTGGAGTGTGGAGCCCCAAGAGAGCCAGGGCTTGGCGACAGGGTCCGTCGCTCACGATTGCGGTCCACTCGAAGTAGTACACACATGTAAAGCTGTTTAAGAGTCTGATTTGTACTTCTTCGCTCGAGGCAAGAATCATCTTCGCACTCCAGTCATGGCTCTATCACGCAGCACCATTCTCGTGGTCACGACGCTGCTGGGCAGCGTGACAGCGATCAACAATGGCCTCGCTACTACCCCTCCAATGGGCTGGGTAAGACATTCGTATTCTATTCTTGAATTGTCATTAACAAGATCAGAACAACTGGAACGCCTTTGGGTGCGACGTCTCCGAAGACCTACTCCTTACAACCTCCGCACAGATTGTGAGCTTAGGCTTGCGAGACTTGGGTTACAACTATGTCGTTCTGGACGACTGTTGGCAGAACCCCAAAGGTCGAGACAAGAAGGGAAAGCTTCAACCGGCTCTCGACAAGTTCCCCAACGGCTTGAGGTCCATCTCAGATCATCTCCATAGCCAAGACTTCAAGTTTGGCATGTACAGCAGCGCTGGTGAGATGACATGTGCGAGATTTGGTAAGATGAATCAAATAAACATGTTTCTTGCATCATACTGACTCAAAGTAGAGGGCTCACTAGACCACGAAGTCGACGATGCAGAGAGCTTTGCAAGCTGGGGCGTCGATATGTTGAAGTATGACAGCTGCTACCACATGGGTCGTGTTGGCACACCTTCGGTCTCATTCAACCGCTTCAAAGTCATGTCAGATGCTTTGAAATCAACAGGAAGGAACATCCTCCTCAATCTGTGCAACTGGGGAGAAGATCTTGTCCACACAGTAAGCACCACATGATACCACACCCAACGATGTTCAAACACTTATCATTCATAGTGGGGAATGAGTATCTCAAACAGTTGGCGTATCACGGGCGATATCTACGACTCCTTCTCGCGCCCCGATGATCTCTGCGGATGCAACACCGTATCTCCAGGCGACGTAAACTGTGTAGCACCAGGCACACATTGCTCCGTTCTCTTCATTCTCAACAAAGTCGCTCCCTTTGCCGATCGCAGCATCCCCGGTGGATGGAGCGATCTGGACATGCTCGAGGTCGGCCAAGGTGGCATGACCGACGAAGAGTACAAAGCACATTTCGCTCTTTGGGCCGCCATCAAGTCTCCACTATTCCTCGGAAACGACCTGCGCAACATGCCAGCTTCCGCTCTCACCATCATCAACAACCCAGCCATTATTGCGCTGAGCCAAGATCCCCATGGACGTAGTGTAACGCGTGTTCGAAGGGACACGGAAGGCGTCGCGAAAGACGAGTGGGGTATGGGTGAGACACACGTGTGGGCAGGCCACCTCCAGAACGGCGATGAAGTCGTGATCTTGCTCAACGCTGGTGGCGAAGACATGGAGATGAGCGTCTCCCTTTCTGAGATCTTCATTCCCTACGGACCTGGTGGCTCGGCGCCGCATGTCAAATACGACTGGGCCATCCACGACCTCTGGGCCCATCGCATGTCGGAATCAACGGCGGAAGAGCTCCTCGCAGCGGCCTCGCACACGGAGAGAGAATCGATCCTGTTAAAGGCCAACTGGTACAATGCTACCGAGACCCCTTACGCCAAGGGTCTGGTTCAGGAGGACCCGCGACTCTTTGGCGAGAAGATCGGCGTTGTTGAGGCTGGTGGTAGGCTCAAGGCAGACGTCAAGAGTCACGCTGCTCGCGTCTTCCGACTACGAAGAATCGCGCCAGAGGACGATCAGTTCGAGGCGAAGAGTATTGCTAGAGAAGACGGTAACGAGAGGGATGAATTGTAATGTTGAGGCGATTAGTAAGGTAGATTCGGTGGGTCAAGAGATAGCTCACCTTGATGGAAAACAGAAAGGGACATAAGTTCTTAGACTTGCGATACTTCTCATTCGCAATAAATCGTGTGAATTTTGGAAGGTGTGGATGGCTCGTTATCTCCAGGTCATCACAGTACCATGGAATGGAGTGGATAGAACCAGAGTATGGACTTCTGGACTTTTCGAATATATAGCGATCTCGCTCTTCGTCCCTCCTACCTATCTTAACCCTTACACAGGCTTTCTCTGTGTTCTTCATCACACGAAGCAATCAAATCTACACCAGACGCAGCCATGACCAAAAACGCAAAGGTCATATCCCCGGCTCAAGCCACATCCGCAACCCAGACGACATCATGGGAATGGTCAGCTCCATACTTCGTTAAGCGAGCGCAGGAAGTTCAGGCCAGATTAGATCTCCAACGGCAGACTATGGAGAACCTTCAGAACCAGCACAAGGGTCTTCGGAATCAGAATAGGAATCTTCAGGACCAGAATGAAAACCAGAAGAAGGACCACGAACGCGAGTTGAACACATGCATCGGAACGTTTATTGTCGTTTTGCTCACCTTCGCCGCCTTCATGATATGTGGCTTTCTGCCATCTTCTTCGCCCGAACGTTGTTCATGTGCGCTAGAAGCGAAAGCAGTACAGATGACGGCCACGCCTACTACGGTCACAGTCACGCTACCGATAGCCACGCCTACTACGGTCACAGTCACGCTGCCTATAGCAATCAACGCCGTGCCGACAATCGAGGCCGCATCAGCGATCAAAGCTACCTCATCAACCGAGGCGGCACAACCAACTAAGCCGGTAAGCTTTGGTCTACAACCACTCTCCCTGAAAACCGCCCTAGTATGCTAATGTCTCAAATAGTTCTGGAAAACCTTGACCAACGAGCAGATAATGTCTGTCATCCGCGACTATGATAAGATTCAAGGCCGATATCGAGACAACCAGAAGGCTTGGCAACGAGAACAAGATACGAAGCGGAAGGCCAACATGCAACAAATGATCGCGCAGTGGGCGAAGAACATGGCAGAGAAAAGACGACGCGAAGAGGAAGCCCAAGAACAGGCCCGGAAACAATTGTGACGTCAGCGATGATGCTCTACACATCGAGGGTGAGTGCGTTGAAAACACCATTCCCGAGACACACTCGGTAGATTGTCGATTGAGAACTCTATGCAAAGCAGCGCAAACCCATAGATTGACTTCTTCTAAGCGCTAATGGTCGTGCTTCTGGACCGGTCTTGAGACCTTTTAGAGAACAGGGCCTCGCGCCGCAATGACATCGTCGGATAACGAGCTAGGCGCCTACAGAGAAGCTAACGCTCCGCATTCTGTATTGCAGCAAATAGATATGAGTATACGTAATCTTCTACTCTGTCGAACTGCGTTGCTATGAATACTTCGGTTTAGGCCCTACTAAGGCTCCCACCTCATGCTTACAGTGTCGTATGCCTCAGAGCAATTCCTACACTTGCCCAGCTTGCAAGGCACTTCACTTCACAGTCCGCACGAAGCAACTCCCCGCTGGAAGCACCAGACCAACAGCACCATGAATACTCTTCTGGGAGAGGTACTCTACTACCCCAGCCCCGTAAAGCGACCGACGATACATCGTGCTTGTGAGCATAATACATATTTTCCGCCTTGTGTACTATTCCTCCTATTATCTTTTGTAGCATTGTGAGACCTCTATCTTTAAAATGTTAGCAGGCTACGCATCTACTACTATTTAGCATATTATATTGTATCATACTTTCTGTTTATTCGCTCCATCATCTTCACTATAAACAATCTTCCCCCCTCCCCACCTACTACCTTAAGCCTATCAGCTACCCAGCTCTCCCCCTACAACACATAGATAATATCAATGAGCGCGAACCAACAAGAGCCGCTAATCTCTACGCCGCAGAGATTACAGAGAACGTTCGCAGTGCCACCTACCAGAAGAACGCCATCAAGCTCACAAGGGCAGAGTACTTTTAGATAAGCCCCTTAAACTAGAACACAACCCTTAACGTAAGCCGCAACAACAGCAGATCCAAAGACAAGAAAGCTGTTGTGAAGATGGCGGACACGATGCAGACAAACTGGCACGGCCTTTCCACCTGGGAAAGTCCTTCATTAAGGGTGGAACCGCATGGCACTACACAGAGGCCTATATCAATAACCCGTATTGTATAGAAGCAACCTTGGAATGGTTAAACTTGGTAACCGAAATGAGAAGATATCCCAACAGATGGGAAACTCCGAGAGCGGTATGTGCTCACGAGCGAGTGCTTGGAGATCAGATCAACAACATTAAAGTCCCGAAGGAACTCTTTGTAATTGATAGGTAACGAAGCGACATGCCCGGAAAGACCCCGTTCACTACAGCACTACCATTGACAGCCTCCGCCAGGCAGACGTTAGAAAGCTCGAGCACATGATCAAAACGATCATCGACACTACTGCTTCTAGCTAAATCAGGGAGTCTTATTGATCACAGGAATACATCGAGGGCGGGACATGTTGACGGCAGACAACTACCAAGTATATGCTGGCAACCCGGTTTGCTTGGTCCACATGCCGAAATTACAGCGATTAAATGAGGCACCAGCGCAGTTTACATCTCGTCAAACTCTCCATAAAGCGTACAAGAAAGCTATCTAAATCTACATAGGTCACACAAGCTTAGGAGCAGCAGCAGATCTAGCAGAAGCCGAAGCTGAGCTCGAGGACGCAATGGGGAGGAGGATGCGACATAGACGGAGCTTTAAGCGGCTAGGGACCGCATAGAAAACCTCTAAGTACGCGTCTACCAAGGCGGTCTGGTTGCGACCGACGACGGTGGTTTCCGCAGCCTTGTCGAAGCGGGATAATTAGGGCTATACAATGCGCAGATGGGTCCCGACGCGAAGTTCGCTTGTTGGAACGCGAGGTGGAACTAGGACGTCTGTATGTCCTTACTCTTGGGTCGGGAGCAGTAGCAGAGCTTGAAGACGCCGAAGCAGAACTGGAAACTGCAGCGCTCAAAGACTGAGTGACTCAGGTCGAACTGCAAAATTATGAAGGACTAAGCCAAACACTACCACGATATTTAGATTACGACGTTCCTCTTACTATGTACCGCAAGATATTCCTCTAGCTCGCAGAACTCGTATCCTAGTACATCCTTGAGCCTCTGAATGCGATAGCTGTATGCGAGAGCGCCGCTACTACGTCCGCCGTCCGCGGATCCGTCGAGTTCCCTGAGAACACGGGAATAGCATATACGGAGTTCAAGCGTACTAATGCTAAGTTGTATCCTCCGTATGATGGCTGGGAAGGGAATAGGCCTCGCTGGTGGGAGAGATGGGGAGGGAGGATGGTTTTGAGGATGGCGCGGGTACTGCGACAGCGCCATGATGCGCAACATGTACCACATCAGAACTCTTTAACTGAAGGCCTCATGGCTCAGCACTTCCTGTTCCCCGAAGAATTACTACCGCATGCACGCATCAATCCAAGGTAGTAATGATACGCTACACATGAGACGCGACAGCGGACATAAAGACGCATCTACAGCTCATATTAAACGTAGTTATGTAGAAGAGAGTAGAAATAGACAAAGAAGTCAAGGCCGCCCTTTGCATTCGTTCCTGCACTGAGCCTCTTACCAGGAAGCGTCACAGGATGGAGAAGTCCACCGCAGCATGTCACCGTCTCGAGCGGCAGCGGAACGTGCATCCGCACCTATCGGTATTGTCATGAAGTGTAGAAAGCGCGTGTTCCCTGCATGTTGCTAAGGTCATACTCGTAATCCGTAGAGTCATAGCTCCCGTCGTGATGACACTCATAGCTCACATCGATAGCTAAGTATCCTTTCGAGATGATCCAGTTAATGTACTCAAACACTTGCTCCTCCACTGGCATAGTATCCGGCCGCTCCATCTCGTCGTAATGAGACATCGCGTTGTCCAATGTTAGTTTGAACTTTTCCCCATCTCTCAAAGCTTGAAGGCTTTGCTTTTGAGGTATAGGTATCCCAAGATGGCAAAACTTCGCATGTTCTTCCCAGTCGGTATGCATATCGTTGACCCTTTGAAACCACTTGCTTTCTGTGTGCTCCACCCGAGGCTCAAGATACTGAACCGAACACCGTTGTCCGAGAAAGCAGCAAGTGTGTTCACCTTCTAAGAAGTTGAACAGTTGGCTTCGTGTGAAATCGTATATATACTGCGTCTTCAAAGTTTGAGGCGGTCTTACGTTTTCAATCCACGCGCGCACGCGACGTTTGGTCAAACCCATGCAATGCATTCTGCTCTCAGATATGAACTTGACAGGTGTACAGCCCGTGGGTGAGCATACGCACGTGCAATCGTCGTGAGGTATACCCAGCTCTTTTTGAACAGCTTCCATATAACTTTGATGTGTAGGCACCGCATCGATATCGTGGAGGAAGACACTACCAGGGTAGTCCAGTCGTTTGGCGTAAAAATGGAGCGCACTAAGACGTGCATCCTTATGTTCTGATTGCATCGAGATACCTCTTTCTGTAAACCAACCCACCATCGCAAAATTGGCCATGAACCAGCTCTGAAGGAATGGTGTTACTCCGCAGTCGTCGGGGGTGTTGATGTCGCGGAACCCAGCATTCCAAAACATGTCTGCTATTGTAGGAACTAGTTCTATCCTACCGTGCATGTCTGAGAAGTTGTAGAAGCTCTCACCGTCAAGCTCCAGGGCCTCGGGAATGTCAATACCATTCGATAGAAGAACCTCGATGATTGACGGGGCCTTTTGTTCGTGAAGTTGCCCGGGCGATAGATTGAGCTTGGAGTAAAGGGATGGCGGCAAACACGAACTGGCTAGTTCCACAAGCCGTGTATGTCGGTTAATAAGTGCCGAAACAAGCAGATGCAGTATTTGAGATCTATGTGGGCTTTGCAATTCCAGTGCGTGTTGGACTAAGCTGTCGTGATACGAAGGGGTGAAAAGTCCACAATCTGCACCAAGCAAGCATGCCACGGAGTCAGTAAGGCCTAGGGCCACGGCTAGATGTATAGGCCGCCGACCAAAGGTATCTTCGGTATTCACGTTCACACCCCTGTCCACCAGCAGTCTAAGTCCAACAGGCCACAGAACAGCGAAATGGATCGGGGCTGACCCGTTTACCGGAGATTTACGGTCCAGAACAGATAGCTTGGCCTTCTGGACAAGACGTCGGAAATGCTCTTCGTTTCGTTGCAGGATCACTGGCACAAGCTCCCCAAGTTCTAACACTGAAAGATGTCAGCGATACTATTGCATTCGGTAGAACAAAAGCATGCGCACCGTCAATCTGATCTTCGAAGAAAGTAAGTTGTTTAGACTCCTGAAGAAACATACGAGATCGATAGCCTGAGGTCACAAGAGACATGTAGGGTCTCGACGAGTGACCACCAGCGTCTTGAATTTGTCCAAGGATCTTCAGAATCAGTGGCGATTTGGTGAAGTGTCCAGAAAGACCCTGTGCGACAGGGCCTGCAAGTTGATCACAGGTGGTGCCCTGGCAGCTTCCCAGAGGTGCAAGGCTATCTTCGAGCGTCGGAAATCTCAACACGTTCGGGTCGGCCCCTATTTCCAACAAGAATTGAACAAGAGCAGCATATTCATCACCCGGCTTCGATATTATACACGGAAAGGCGGTGCATAGCCATATGATCTTCTATGGATAACGTCAACTCGATATAGAATCCGCCGCGGACATGGGCTAGCTTACATTCAAGAGAGTATTTCCATTACTGTCAGTATCGAGAACAGAGGCCTCCTGTTCGTCGAAAAGAACTTTGAGAGTGGCTTGAAGTTGAGGAATCAGTAAGTGATGCTGACCACTCTTGTACAATTTTTCTTTAGTGTTCGCAATGGCACGAAATGCGGGTGACATATTTGGGTCAACGAGCCTGCTTGTACCTATAACGATTGGACTAATCGAAAAGCAGTTCGTGGTCGACCAATTCCGGACCCGTGTACCCACGTCAATGGTACGGGATACAAGCCAGAAAGGAGGAACGATCTGCATAGTGACTTCGAGACTCTGTTCTGAATTCTGGTAGTCCGGACAGGACGAGAAGTGTTGTGTTTGGAACGTCCGGGTGAATCGAAGTATCGATAATGGCTGCCAGCGACGCGCAGTACTGACGGTACGGCATCTGCATCTTCGACGTCTACGACCTTGATCTAATGTGCTTGTCTCGACTTGTTGGCCTGCCGAGGAGCCGACATATGTATGATCTATAACGTAGCCACGCTGTGCACGTGGGCTGTGTTTGTTCGCACTTAGCGCTCCGATGGCCGCGATAATCCGTGCTGTATTCGCCAAAGTCGTTTCTGTGATCTGTCGACTTGCTTCCCGTGCTGTTACATCCGCATCGTATCTTGTTAGGAGGCGTTGCGTGTCCTGTAGGATGCGTTCAGTTGTGGTCGATGTGGTCGCGAGGTTTCGGTCGATGTGCTCGACATGAGGAACTAGCTGTGCTGTACCCGCTGCGATCTTGTTCGACGTGCTGTCAACTGTCTTGATGAACCTTAGGGTCTCGCCGGCATCAAGCTGCGTCTGGGCTGTAGTCAGCGCGATACTTGAAGCAAGTTTGCTGTATTCCAGTCAGTACAGTGGCCGTGACCAGGCTTGACAGACAGCTTCTGCATTCTTGGAACTGCGCTTACAGATTCGCTGCTTCCAGCCACAAAGAGAGTGTACTCTTCTTCTGTTCGAGTCGATCGCATATGCTTGCCACCTCTTCTTTCTTACGGACGGAACAGATAGCATCCCAGCCTCGTTGTAGCACCCCATCATTTTTGCGGGAGAGCAATGTCCCTAGTGTTTTACACAACTCCTCAGCGAGATCAATGTACTCAGCTAGAGGCGTGTCAAACGTCGAGGACGCTACTGCTATCGCGGAACCAGGCAAGCGGTGATTCTGGATCTGTTGCGCGATCTCGATTTGCTGACGTAGGTCGATCTGCAGCTGGAGAAAACGACGCGGCACATTGCGCACATCTGAACAGAAGCGTTCGAGACAGGACGATAGGCGTAGAGCTACGTCCACGAACTGGACGACAGCGGCGACGGCGCCCACCACCTCCGCCATTTGAGGTATTATGATGAGAAGGATGAGTGCCAGCAGCGGGGAATGGGCTCATATGCATGAGTACGGCTGACCAAGCTCAACTTGAGCGAATGAAATGCGTGCATGATCATGGACATGGTGTTCACGAGGCTGAGCTTCAGCCTTGCAACCCGTTGATGAAGGGGACGAATTCAGGTCAGGATTTTGTCGTTGGACTAGATGTCGGACATGTGAAACGCAGAGATGCCGGGCCATAGCTGGCAGTCGTTTTCGTAGATTGTTCACATGTTGGTGATGAAAGTAAAAGTAAAGTCGGGCGTAAATGAGATGGATCATTGATGGCAGCTCCAGGGCAGCTCCAGGGCTGGACCCTGACGCTAGCAATCATTCACGGTTAGCGCCACATTCATCGGAATCGCCTTCCGAGATGGCGCGGCGACAATCGTAAGCTCTTGGTAGCCTAACCGCCTTCTCGAGGCTTCTGATGCTTGCTCAGCTTCGTTATTACACACTGTCGCCTCCGTATTAGCTCTCTAGCATCTTCTTCACTCAGCCTTCTACACATATATTATTCCGACATCCATCACAACTATGGCAGCCAACGAATCAAGCTACACCGAGATGAAGGGCGACTTGGAAGCAATCGGGGCGCATTGCCAGATGGAATACTGCAATGTACTAGACTTCCTGCCGTTCCGCTGCGAGAGTTGTCATGGGTAGGTACTCGACATATTCCAGGCCACGCGTCCCACGCGTATCTAAACAGCTTATACCACCATACTAACAACTCCCCCCAGGAAATTCTGCCTCGACCACCGCACCGAATACGCGCACAAATGCCCCAAAGAAGGCGAATGGGCGCGTCAAAAAGCCAAAAACGCCCAAAACACCACGCCATCCGCCCCCAAACCCAGCGTCTACAACCACGACTCACAATGCGCCGACCCCTCCTGCAAGACCTTCATAGACACTGCCCGCGCACAAGGCGTACACTGCCCCCGCTGCAACAGACGATATTGTCTCAAACACCGTTTCGAAGAAGACCACTCCTGCTCGACCCTCACACCCCTCGGCGCGCGGCCCCAGAACTACGTACAAGCGCGCACGCAAACCGCTCTGACAAGACTGAAAGCATGGGCAGAGCAAAAGAAGAAAGACGATGAGAAACGGCGCTCTTCATCCAAGAAAACAGGCGGTTTCCTCGGGCTGGGCAAATCCTCCTCCTCCGCCGCATCATCCGCGCAATCCGAACTCAACGCCCTCAAACGCGTCGCAAAAGGCGAAGCCAGCATCCCCGCCGAGAAACGTATATACCTACACGTCGAAGCCTCGGCCGATACAACGAAAGCCAAGTACCCCACGGGGAAATTCTTCTACAACAAAGAGTGGACTGTGGGGCGCGTGTTGGATATGGCGGCGAAGGCGCTGCAGGTACAGAATGTGAATAATCGGGGTGGAGGGGAGGAGGAGAAGCTACGGGTTTTCCATGTTGAGGGTGGACGGCTGCTGAAGTTTAGTGAGAAGATTGGGGAGCCGTGTCAGAATGGGAATATGATTGTGCTGTTGAGGGGGGTGGGGAGTGGAGAGGCGCCGGATTTGATTGATTTGTAGATGGGAGGGGGGAGTTAGGAGTGAGCAGTTGGGCGTAGAGAGATCATTGCATGGCGTGGCGTTTCGCTGTTGTGTTTACAGCGCTGGAGATACCCTGATGCCTATGTGGCATGATTGAATGAATCAAAGTATGAGCGACCATACATTCAACGACGTTGGTGGAGATTATGAACGAATATATGTCAAGAGCCTACACATCTCATCGAAGGCGTGACTCAATATGTCGACTTCCCTTGAGCAAGTAACTACGAGCCCATCCCAGCTACTCATGAACACAGACGGAAGCTTGATACAATCATTATATTTAGATTTATCCTAATTCGGTACTGATACAGCACTAAGTGGGCGTCGAGCACTTCGAACGCCGGTGCTATCTCCCATCGCTTGTAGATGCAGAAACCCCAATGTAAACGCCAATCGCAACGCTGTATCGCATGAAACATGCCCTTGGTATATACCCACTGCTCTCTCTGCTTGTGTGCTTGACCAAGTCGCGCCATGCGATCCGCACACGCCGGTCTGGTATTCTTCTGACCTTCCTGAACGCATCCCAGTCTCCGCGGCGGAGGTGTATCGTTCGTATCCGTAGTGTGGGTTTAATCGTCGTGCAACAAGTGCAGCTCTGTCTGGATCGGATCTGGCTCGACGTATGTATCGCAACATGTATCCATCTCTTGCCCTCATGCGTCATCCATTCAGTCGTCGTCGTGCTCCTTATTACTGCACTTCAACCCATGTATCTTAGTCCCCCAACCGACACTCCCGAGGTTATTCGCGCCATCGGAAATAGCGAGAAACTGGTCCATGTTTTCGTCGCCGCTGCAGTCGTAATTGCTGTGTTAATGTTAGCTGCTGCCCTCAAGAACACCAACCCCAACCACCACAACAGCAGACTTACTCATAGAACCGACAGCTCCAGTAATCATCCCTCGCCAACACAGCCTGGACATCGTGTCCGCCTACTAGAATACTCTGCACGCGCCCATCGATGCTATACCTCTTGCGTTAGCTTGACTCCCCAACTCCGCAAATCATTCTACAGGTGTTCGCAACATACAGATTATTATCCAGCGAGAGGCACTGGTTGTTATACGCGTCAACACTGACTTCGCTCAGGAACGAGGGCGCAGCAAAAAGCTGCACTTTGATCTTTGTGCCGCTGATGGTGTCGTCGGCTAGTACTGTGCCCGTCCAAGCCAGCAGTACTACGGACGCGGAAACGAGGCGGCTACTGGGCTTCATATCGGCGGCATGCGATGCGTCCGAGGCGTCGCGCGGGGATTTGTTTGTAGGAAGGCGCGACGTGAGAGCTCGGTGGTCGGGGTGCAGCGTTCGCAACGGCGTCAAGGACTGGCGTGCGACCGACGATGAGGAAAGGATGAAGTCGGTGGTGGATGACGGCGGGTGTGTGGGTCGGGGGGGTCAGGTGGGCGATGTGGTTGGGCGGAGTGGAGGGATGCACCGCCTCCTCATTGCCGTTATGACCGCACGGACGTTTGCGACGGGATCGTTTGTGCCAATCTCCCTATAACCTCTGCATAGCTTGTTCTTCACGATGCGGCAATGCGCATGCGCGATATATGTCGTCTCGGTGCTAGATAGACTGCGGGCTTGTGCGATTAGACGGTGCGTATACATATGGCTAAAGGCCGCGTGTGCTACATGGCTAGTTCTCGAGTCCGGCTTCGCGACTTGACGTCACATGCTATGCCACAACGATGTTACGCCTACATGGCTAGAATGACTTAGGGCCCGGTCATGTTCACTAGAGAAGAGACCGAGGGTCTAGGGGCTGTAACCCCGGTGTCCTTATCGCATGCTGTTTATCGCGAGGATTAGACATGTCGCAGAGCGTTCGATTGTGAAAATGTGGTTTCGACTATCTCGGTACGGTTAGTTCCCGAGGGATTGAAGCAGGGGATTGAGCGGACGGTCTTCGCTGTGGAGACAGTAAACGAGTAGTCATTACTATCATTTCCTTCTATCTTTTCTACATTCTAAAGGACGGTCAGGAGTATTGACACACCAATCTAAAACACATTCCTCGTACTGGTGACCTCGAAATCTGTAGTCACCATCACATTATCTTTCCCATCTTGCAAGCGTGACCCATCAGTGGTTCCAGTTGGTGTAGGGCTAGCCTTTCGGTCCAGAAAAGTTAATTCCATTTCATCGTCCATGGTGCCGCCCTGGATGTTCGAGCTGTGCCCATTGAAGTTGATGCCTTTGCTACCAATCGTTTTGCCGGAGCCAGCTTGCAGATAGCCTGAGTTGCTGCGGTTGGAGGAGCTAGCGGGTGTGGGTTTGATGATGAGTGCCTTTAAGGACGGGAGCGAGACGACGATGACGGCTGTGCACATTTCGGCTGTGCACCAAAGGTCTGGGGGGGCTGTTAGCGGAGGCTTGGGGAAGTGAGAAGGGAAGGGTGACGTACTGCCGTCGGCGTCGGCGATGTCGTAGTCCATGTTGTAGACGATGAAACGGGCGAGACTGATTGCCATAGTGATGGCGCCTAGAGAGAAGATTCCGACCAGGCCGACCTTTTGTCTTCTACGCAGCTTCAAGCAGTTGAAAATGAAGAATGGCAGGCCGAATACTAGGAACGCTGTTAGTGCATGTATTAGGAAGTGGTCTTGGTCTACTTACGCAGCAGATCCGTGCCAAAGTTGAGTGTCCAGTTGACTACCAAGTTGGAGTAAGTATTCCATGTTGAGTTGAGCTGGTTCTCGATAGACCTTTTGGAAAGTAGATGTTAGCCAAGGAGCAACTTGATCGAAGTAAGGGTAAAGGTCGTACCAGTTGTCGGAGATATTTGGCGCGAGAAGAGTATCGCACAGGATGCTCGCAACAAAGCAGGCGATCACGATCGCAGTAGTGGCATAGACTGCGTAACGAAGACGTCTGAAGCCTTGCGGGATCAACCACCAGTAGAAGGCCACCAGCGAAACTTTGGGGAAGTACAACCCCGTGTCGAAGAAGTAGATAGACACGAATACGACCTAGCAGCAAACATCTGTCAGCTCACTCCTCTCGTTGCGTATTTTAAAGGTCATGTCTTTTACGTACTTTGAGGTATTCGACGGAGTCGCTCCTTGTCTCCTCGTCCAGAGGATGATCAATCAAGATGTAAAGCGCTCTTGTAGAGCAGGCAAACCATCCAAGCGCGCAGATGAAGCCTCCCCAAACGAGGTAGTCGGGCAGAGTTAATGACCGGTGCTCCATGCAAAGACGAACCCAACATCTTAGGATCGTAACACCCAGTGCCAACACGAGGAGTATCCCCTGGATAACCTGTGGATGTGAGTGAGACTTCAAATCATTCGGCTCGCGTAGTTCTTACGATAGAAGTGACTATCTCCATCGCGGCAGCATACACACACAGTACGTGTGGCCGGTGGAGTTTAAGTTCGCCCCAATGGGAACAAACGGAGAAAAGTGGTGAGTGAGGTCAAGTGCGAACTCTACTTGGGGTTGTTTGACATCTTGACACCTGCATATAGCGGGCAGCGCGAAGCCTAGGGTCAGGGTAGGTTAAAAGGGAGTGGTATGATCCGGCGTCTTTGTGCTACACGTCGGAATCACGAGTCGCATAGTTCCAGGCGGCTGGTAGCGTCTGTCCCGTGCTGATCAGTAGTCGATCAACCGGCTCCGCGGCCACTGCGGGTGAGATGAACCCTTTTTTCTTTTTGCTTAACGGGCAAGAGAAGCTTCAGTGTTCTGCAAATACGAGTTTCGCACTGACGTGACGACGTTGCCGGAACGTCATGAGGTTCTCGCAACGTCTGTACGCACAACATAGCTGGCAGATATCAACTTGCTTCACTTTCAAGGCGCGGCGTCTCGGACGTGAGCGGGAACATTCCCCGTCCCGTCCATAATTTATCTTAGTCTTGCCGCGAGTTGTTCACTCTCTGTCGTCGGGCAGGCATTATGCATCCACGGAACTGACAGAGGGAGCTGAGCAAACAACGAAACACCAGTACCATACCAACACAACACTAGAAGAAGTCGCAGCAGCTCGAGAACGTCTGAGCCGCGAATCGGGCTTCTCGATGGCACAGACAACGTGGTAGGCTAAGTGCGGGCGCCGTCACGAAGTGCTTGAGTCCATCAGTGCCCTTGGTTGAGCTTGTCGCGGAGCTACCGCACGCTATAGAGTCTTTCTGGGATATCCTCGTGGCGTCCGCCTAGGTGGTCCAGTTTTGCGTTGAGACAGCCTCGTGGCGATGGACGACGCACGCTTGACTCGCGGCAGGGTCAGATAGCAGTCCAACGACTTGGCGATTTCGCGGGGTTGTCTCCGATCAGCATGCAATCCCTCGGAGTGGTCGCGGTCGACTTTCCCTCGACGTCGTCGGTCCTTCTTCACTCATGAAGTGACTGGGAATCTGCGTGGACGTCTGACACGCCGCAGGCTAAATGTCTTTATTTCGCGATCGAAGGCGTTCCATAGCGCCATGGTGGATTCCTTGTTTATCCAAAAGCCCTGACCCTAGATTCCACAATCATCGCGCACTGATCTACAGATCTCTGTGGAGTGGACCAACGGACCCGCGGAGATGGTCTGGATCTGAGGTCGAGGGTACAGTACCCTTGGCAAAATCAGCGTCTGGCGTCGCAGCCATGCTCCGACCCTCCAGGGGCTCTGCGCTAGAGGGGAATGACGCGACATCAGCAAACCTTATACAGTAGGGCCAGCTGTGCCACCTTGATATCTGGATCATGTCAATAGGCTTACAGATTTCCAGATAAATGAGCTTGGTATGGAGCGCCAGATTCCTCGGCACAAGATATCTCGGCAAAGTCAAGAACATGATGCGCGACTCTTGATCGCGCCATTTTGGTAGATCGCTTTGAGAGGGGAGCGCAGACTGGTGACGCTCGTATATTCTCCTTGGGGACAAGACAAAATCCAGGTATCGTCGCGATGTAAGAGCAGGATGTGGTAGAAAGCGGTCCAACCCAGCCTGTCACGCAATGCAGGCCGTCGCAGCTTCCTAAATCGAGATGACAACGAGCTGATATCATCAAGAGGGTTCGAACAGTTCAAAAGTAGCTCTTTTCGAGCATGGGAGCCGATAGTAGACATTCGATGCGACACAGAAAAGATGGCGGTGGTTCTGGTGTTCTGGAGATTATGGACGGCATGGCTTTGGTGATGACGGCACGCACGAAAGACCTGGTCAAAGCGCCTTGCTGAGTAACTGCACCCGTGCACTCGTCCCGATTCATCCCGCCTCAGCGAAAGGGACCATCATAGGGCATCCAGCGTGTGCACTATCACTGAGGCTCCCATCGCCAATGTGTTTTTACTGCCTCAGAACTGAGCCGCCCTCGAGACGCCCTTGTCGTGGCTGCCTCGCCGCTTCGTTGCTTCCTGCTACTTGGTCCGACCCTCCCGCAATGCAAGTCTCCTTAGCAGCCGCACTGCAATGGCGTATACGACAATAGCAACGAGGCTCGCGCTCGCCCAAGTCTCGTAAGACTGAAAGTATGTGAGATCACTCTGCTTGTAGCCAGCAATATGCATCGACGTCGTTCGCAAAAGCCCGGTGAGAGAGCCAATGACAAGATAATCCTTCAGTCCAACGTTGGCAAGATCCATGTTTACTGCGCGCTGATATGACGGAAAAGAACGCGTATTTGGAGGATAGGTAAGCAATTAACGACTCAGCAGTGGCTTGGAAGGTTCCGATGACAAAATCTTCGCGGCTATGGCATCTGAACGATCGAGATAAGAGTGGTGGATGTGGGCTTCGGGATTTCGGTTCTCCATGCAGGGCTGAGGCACTCCTAGCTTGGCAACCTGAGAACAAAGAAACACCCACCGATCACTTTTCATATCGGCGCTACGGCATGTTGACAATGCTCCCCACGACAAGAGAGAAGTTCACAAACGACGAGCGGCGAAACAGAACGTTGACGCGACATCTATGGCAGCCGAATTGAGAGCATCCCGAAGTTCTCCGCCCACGTGCTGCGTTCACGAACCTAATTCGCTTATACCGTATGCTCATCTCACATTCCCAGCCAAAGTCCTTCAGAGGCTGCGATGAACGCCCCTTTGCGGACACGATCCCTGTGTTGGACGGCTTTCCGTGCGCCGGCACCACAGCCCGCTTGCGCCTTTGTCAGGGTCTCGGAAGCCAGTCTTCCACCCGGTAGTAATGAACGCCTGAAATGTCACTTTTAGTGACAAGGCTGGATTAAAGCATGCTGACAAGCAATCAAACATCAATGCCGGGAACACGTTTACCCCGCGCTCTCCTAGCATCCCTCACCACCTGGCAGCCCTTCATCGCAGCCAATACAGCTACATCAATCTCGAACAAAGAGCTCCAGAAACAATGGCGGTGCAGCAAGAAGAGCAGCGATATGCAGACGGCTTTGCTGAGTACGGCAACTTCTATGGCGGACCATCATTCGAATACCTTGCGCCCCACCCGTCGATATCTCCAACAATAACAGGGAAGGCTGACGAGAATGTCACTTATCTTAACCATACTCACAAGGTGCCGCAAAGGCGGGAAGAGGCAGCAAGTCTTCCTTTGGCATCTTCCATGGCTGGGTCTGGGGCCAGTATCGCTATGCAGCCACTCACAGCCGATGGCATATCTCTCAAGTCTGGCAACGTCTTCTCACCACTGCGCGAAGGACCACTACTATCCCATGACCCTCAAATGGAACCTTTTTCCGAGCCCCCAACCGATGGATTTCCCCGACCTCCAACAAGCGAAGACTCGCAAGCTGTTCGGCCACAATTTCCACAACGCGCGTCGAAGTCTTCTCCACCACAGCCTTTGCGATTCTTGAAACATGCATCAACAATCCCCCCTACACCTCCAATGTCTTGGGGAAGCAGCGATATCACTGAAGATGGTCTGTCAGACAGGATGCAATCCATGTATATCGCTTTCGATCATCCCTCGCCTTCCACTTCCACACCACAGCCACTGAAGGTCGTCCATGGCATCTCTGAGCGTGTGAGCACTGCCTACATGGCGAATGGCAATCGAAGCTCTAGCATGGGATCATCCGTATTGCCAGATTTACCCGGGGGTCTAGATCAGTCATCACGAAGAAATATCTCTATATCCACCACGCAAAGTATAGAGAGTGAAGCATCCGACATGAGTCCCGGCGATGCTCGAGCTGAGATACTGCGCAGACTGAGCAGAAAGGAGCCGCCATCAGACCGGAAGGGTGTATCTCCTTTCAAGAAGAGCTTCCTCCTCAAAAGAGCAGCTACTACGCCAAATCCAGCTAGCAGTCCATCACAAAACGACCTGACCGATATCCTCGAAGAAGCTGCTGCGGAGGGTAGTCTTTCACTGGTCAGGGCAGTCATCAAAATGGGAGCTGATCCTATTTATCGATCAACTGGTAAGTTGAAGAAGGTAAAGCACGAGGCCCTAGCGAAAGCTACCATGAACGGACGAGTCAGAGTGGTCGACTATCTCTTGAAAGAGGGTGCCACCTACGGAGACGCAACGAAGAAAGAAGACTACACTCCAAGAGATCGCGCGCTCTTGGCGGCCGCCTACAAGGGACATGCAGACCTGATCGATTGTCTTGTATATCATGGCGCAAACCCAATGGTCGAGCAATGGCCAAGAGAGATGTATGACGCGCAGCACTATTGGAATGAGATCCAGGTTCGTGTTACAAAGACCAGCTTCCTTGATGGCCTATCAAAATGGAAAAATGTCGATCGCGGTATGAGTACCCTCAAACTCGTCATGCAGCATCAAAACTTCGATCCTACAGCCTTCGTTTCAGGCGCATTCGACAACAAGAGCGAAATCAAGAACGCTGGTGTCACGAATCGCCCGTGGCAGATGACGTACGAGTACTCTGTTTTGTCTTGCTTCGTGCGTGCCGGATGGGCAGATGCAGTGGAAGAGATGTTGAGCATGAAAGGCATGTCTAGGGACTACGAGAAAGAAGACGATGTTTTGTTGCATCAAGAAAAGCTTACCAGACTCGTATCACCAATTAACGCATTGACGAAAGAAACCTGGGAGAAGCGACCGGAAGATGCACTCCGCATACTAAGGCTGCTGATTGACAGAGGCTTCAATCTATGTCTCACGCAACGGACAGCTACAGATCTGGGCCCAAGGACAGCGCTCAGCCGTGCGATCTCAGCAGACGCTGCACAGGCAGTCGAACTCATCTTGCAGACCAAAGGCAGTTTGGTACGAGAGGAAATTTTCTTCCGACGAAACAAAAAAGAGACCAAAGCACTACCACTCGCCACTGCCCTCTCACTCGACTCGCTGGAAACAGCTCGCGTACTTCTCAGAGCAGGCGCACATCCCCGTGATGCAGCTTTCGAAGACATGAATGTACTGCAATTCACCGCATACCAAAACAGTCCGACCAACACAACAATGCTCGAAGAGATGATCGGCCTCGCCCCAGAACTAATATACGATGCCTTGAGCTACGCCATAAAGGGTTCCAATAAAGACGCAGTGCGCGTCCTTCTCAACGCCATCTCCGCAGCAGCCCTGCGCGAACAAATCGCCGCTCTACCACCCATATATGACATACTTCTCCACTGCACTCCCCCCACCAAACAGGAAGTTCAAACCCAGTATCTTGAGCTCATCGATATGGTGGTCCAATGGGATGTTGGATATGCGTTGCAGCGACCCAGGCTTTCGGCGATTTTGTCGGCGATTCGGAAAGACAACTACATCGGTATGGAGAAGTTACTCCAGAATGGTGTGGTGGATGGCAGGAGTTTGGTCTTGAACAGCAAAGCGCAGCCGTGCGGCGAGCTGGGGACATGGACTATGCTCGAGTGCTGCGAGTTGACGGATAGGAGTTCGGAGTGGTTGGGTTTGCTGAGGAGTTATGGGGCGCCGCTGTATCATTGATACTTACTGATATCCTGCGTGAAATGCTTTATAAGTGCTTCGACCTCGGCCTTCCGTCCCCATTTCCCCTTGTACTTGCCACCTTGCTGCTTGATCCTCTCTTTTTTCGTTTCAGCAACCCATTCTCCGCGGAACCTCTGTCTGGGCTTTGCTTCACCCTCCTGTGCCATCTTTCTCTTCGTGCTTCCTTCTCGCCCGTTGATATGTCCTTGGTTGACTGGATTTGCCGCGACCCACTCCTCGAGCTGCGGTCTGAGCTTGGGGCCCCAGACATGTTCACCAACATCCAAATCATCATACGGGATCGCAGCGGTATCCTCCGGGAACGGAGAAGGCTGGAGCACGAAATTGGCTTGCACTTCGCGCTTCAGCGCGACCATGTGCGAAACGGTACCGCAAGCGACACCTAGATCGTGCGCAAAGCTGCGAACGTAGAAGCCGGAACAAACTGTCAATCTAATCCGTGCCGCAGGTGCTGGAGCTGGCTCCTCCTCGCCAGGGAAGGCGAAGTCATGCTGACCCGGATCATACCATTCCAGTAAATCACACCTCTTCACTTCCATTTCCCTGCTTTCCAACGCTCGAGGCAACTCCTTGCCCTGTCGCACATACTCGCATGCTTTGATACCATTGATCTTCAGCGCTGAGTACACGGGTGGAACTTGCTGGATTGTTCCTAGAAATTTGGGCAGCTGTTCCTCGACAAGCTGACGAGTCACGTGCGAGGCGTCTGCTCTTGTCTTCATAGTTCCAGTACAGTCGTAGCTGTCGGTACTCATACCGAATAGAATGGTGGTGTCGTAGCTTTTGTCACATGCTAGGTACTGTGAGAGCGATCTTGTGCCGCGCCCGATTCCTACGATGAGCACGCCGGAGGCGAGGGGATCGAGCGTGCCGCCATGACCTAGACGGAAAACATGATAGGGGTGTTTGGTACGTTTCGGCTGGTGTTTGCGCAGTGACGCGAACAGATCTGAACAACGGAATGCTGCCTGGAGTTTGAGAATTACGTCTGCTGAAGAGACATTCGCAGGCTTCACCACGGCTATGTAGAATTAGTAACAATGTGCGGGCGGGAGACGATGAGATCACATACCGAAAACACCTTCTAGCACTTGCTCGTGTTGCTCCGCGACAGTTTTCTCGTTTTCGTCTTCCATGGTGTTGCGGGTCACGTTATGTCGCGTCGTGAAAGTCTGGTCCTGCTGCGCTAGAGGGAAGAATTGTCTAGATCGCGGGGCTAGCGTGTTCTGAAGTTCGCCCCACCTCACGCCCTACGCCTTGCATACCTCGCAATATCTAGCAGTCGGCCAGAGACAGCCCGAGGTTCTTTGCGGTGTACTGCATTCGTTTGCTAATCTAGATCCATGGATCTATACGCGATCACTTGGTAAAGGTTGCATCGGTAGCGGCGCCGACTTCGGGCTGACGCCTTCATCCTACATCCAATTTCCAGCCATCGTCGTCATCGCCAAAACAACACTCGCGACTTCTGGAGCCATGGATCATCAACAAGTGAACAACTGGAACTTCCAATCATGGAACGAAGATACGATCGACCCTTCATGGTTCGACAACTTCCTCGCTACAGATGTCGGACAGGATGCGACTAACGCTGCATCTGATGCTCCTGCCGCATTCAGCATCGACGACGACTTGGCAATCGACCCGAACTTCCACGACTTTACGTTAGAAGACACGTTACAACCACTGAGTGGTATGACTTCGCCAAGTTATCCATTCGATGCATACCAGCCGACTGAGTTTCACGAGCGCCCACAGCCGCAACGACACCACACACTCCCTCGGCGTCGAAGCAAGTACTTTAAGCGAAGATCAACGGGCACTGTCAGCCCGATGGTAATACCGAGTGGAAGTCCTCGACACGAAGAGGGTCAGTCACTGGCCATTCAGCGCTGGCGGAACTCGCCGCCTGAAGACGAAGCCGCATCTCTGTCGGCCATCTACCATGCCTTGGAGGACAGGCCTATAGGCCACTCACCACGTATCAGTCGGCCCTCCAGTGGCGATGCGTTCCGCAAGTATCGCGGCCCTTCCTCTACCACGAGTCTCGATAGCGCTGCAAGCGAATCCTCACTACGATCCGCGAATTCGAGTCGCTCCGCCACGTCGCAATCGAAGCGTCGCAGTCAAGCCAAGACAAGAAGCAAGGGAAGAGTCAGGGGCAATATGCTGGACCCGGATCGCATATTCAAGTGTACCTTCTGCTGCGACACCTTCAAGCACAAGTACGACTGGAAGCGACACGAGATATCGCTGCATCTAAACCTCGAAAGCTGGATGTGCACCCCGCACGGAGCTTCTGTGGTGCTACCTCTTACGGGTAGAGTACACTGCGCTTACTGTAGTGCACTAGATCCAACACCCCAGCATCTGCAGAAACACAATCATGCGGCATGCACCGATGGCAGTAACTCCCCGCGTATATTTCACCGCAAAGATCACCTCACACAGCACCTTCGTCTAGTCCACGGACTCGAAACACTACCTCTCATCGACGACTGGAAACTCGAGACTCTGCCAGTAAAATCTCGCTGTGGTATATGCAATACCAATTTAAGTAGCTGGGATGAGAGAGCAGACCACCTCGCCGCACACTTCAAAGAGGGCAAAACCATGTCCGATTGGAAAGGCGATCACGATTTCGAACCGGGTGTCGCTGCCCGTGTCATCAACGCGTTTCCGCCCTACCTACTTGCCGAACAAGCGAAGACCGTTGTACCCTTCTCTGCCACGAATCCCGGATCCATCGATCATACAAAGCAAATGATTTCGCAGATCCAACGGGAAGAATATCAACGGGAAGAAGAGCCAGTTCAAGAGTCTCCGAAAGAGGTTACCCAGACACCGGACCATCAAGCTTTTGAAGACTCTTTGGAAGCCCTCCGAAACCTTTCTACGCAGCACGACTATGACTTTGCGAAGGTTTTGACCCGCCATCTTAGTCGATTTGCGAGACAGCAGATGTTGTCGGGTATTATACCGACGGATGAGATGTTTCAACGCGAGTCGCGGAGGTTGTTGTACCAGGATGCGGATGATGCGGTGAGGAAGCGAAACGACCCATTATATGCCAGACAAATGCTAACATGTATGCTAGTGGAATCAAACAGTAGCAGACAACCCGAACTGGTTACAGGACTTTCGCCGTCGTAGTGGGCTCGAAGGAAGTCCTAGCACATGATACCAATGCCACCTTAGCGCGATACCCAACAATCCTTCTACCTGTTCTTCAGACTCCTCCTATGCCGTATCGAGATCTCGAAATATTGCTATCGCCTTTCATCAGATGGTACCACCATGCAGTGTCACTTGGTCTTTGAGGTAGGACAGATCAACACTGCCCACCTCCCCAGCTTCTTCAAAGAAGCGTAAGGCGCGATTACCGGTCCAAGTCGGATTCTCATCGCCTGTACCGTGGTTAGCTCTTTTGCTATAGCTGAGATGCTATCCGAGAGAACGGTCTCACCAATCCAGTGCCCAGCCTTCGGAATCAACTCGGCAACAAAGTCATCGCCGATCTGCGACCATACCTGTTCCAACAGTGACACAGGCCCAAAGCTCGCCTCACCACCCAGCGCCAACAACGGCATTTGCAACCTACGTCCACTGCCAAACACGGAAGTAAAGTACGCCTCGTCATCCCACGCCGCCGCGAAGTATTCCATACCGCTCCTCAGAAAACCCGGCTTCGCAATCTCATTCGTATACCGCTGCAAGTGGTCTTCACTCACGGCCGCCGTACCGGAATAACTCGCGTGAAAGAAATACCAGCTCAACATCTGTTTCTCGCGGTCTCGAATGAAGAACTCAGCTGCATCAGGCACGGCAAAGAAGGCGAGCTGCCAGTTCTGGTACAAGCTGGGACTCTGAATTGTTAATGGATATCCATATCCTGGGAGTGCGTATTCGGCGAGAATGATGGCCTCGACGAGCGTAGGGTGTTCGATAGCGAGGGAAGTCGCTAGCCCTACGCCCTTATCGTGAGCGAAAACGTATGTGGACGAGATGTTGAGGTAGTCTAAGATGGCTTTGAGGTCTGCGCCCGCGGCTGCAGCGGTGTAGTTCTTGGAAGTAGGGATAGACGAGTCTCCGCATCCGCGGATATCTGGGGCGATCACCGTGTCTGCTTTCATATTAGCAGTTAACTCTCTCATCACCGATGATGTGCGAAGACATGCAGTTTTGAGCCAGGATTGGACCGATGGTATGCCATGTTAGTGAGTGTTGAGGAAACCCATGCACGAGGAGGACGGGCGGTCCTTCGCCGTGGTAGCGGAAGTGGATCGACACGTCGTCGAGCTGGATGCGCTCGTGCTCCCAGTCATCGAAGTCCGATAATTGCGCGAACGTAAGCTGTGATATAGCGAATGCGAACGCGCTGATGATGCCAGCGAGCTTCATACTGGAGGGTGGGCAGATTGACTGTAGTTCACCAGAACACCGTCAGTATGTGCAGCTTTATCCATTCCCACATCTTCAAAGCCATCAACATTTTGCACATCATGCATTAGGTCTCCTACGCCTTCTTGGCTCGAAGCGCTGTTGCTTTACTACTCTTTCCTATTGCGCTACTCGATCGTCTTGGCAGGGCACAAGAACGCTGACTGAGCTTACACGATGCATCGGACTTAAGCATCTAGCTTAGTAAACTCGATGCATCGCCAAGTCGGGGCGGGCAAATAGTTGGGAGATATGCACAGTCGGAGTAACAGTTGTTCAGAATGGATGTCCATGGGACCACACGTCTACACGGTACGCTCCAGACGCGCTCTGCCAAGGCCACCAATGTCTTGTTCTATCAAGGAAACCACAGCTTTACACTAATTCATATGCAACTTATGAGACGGTACATGGCTCTTCATTGGATCGTGGAGAGCATGCAGAGGAATGGTCCAAAGAGTCAAGCTCATATTCCGACGCCGTGGTTGAAGGCATGTAGACACAATGTAGACTTCCGTATCGCACACGCTGTCGCATGGCACCTTCCTGCATACCATGTTCAGAATCATCGAACCCACTGGATTGTTACTCCTACCAAAACGCCGCATCCATGCTTATATATCTAGCCAACGCCATTTGTATGCAAACCCTCTCCATCCCAATGCGCGACAGCCATCACGACCTAACCTTCGTATCCGCATCCGCAACTCTCCCAACCAACCCCCTAATCTTCGGCCAAAGCTCCGGAATACGAAAAGGTTTCGAAATCGCATCGTCCATCCCCGACGCCAGCGACTGTTCAATCTGTTCCATACGCGCATTCGCGCTCACAGCCAGGATAGGCAGACGAAGCGATTGCTTATCCGGCCGCTCATGCGACGCCGAAGACGTAGATGAGGTCTTCTTATGACAAGCCCGACCCGACGATGGTACCCCCGGCGCTGGTGGCGCCGCAAGCAAACCCTGGTGTTCGTAGTCGCGGATGAGGCGGGCGCAAGTCAGGCCGTCCATGATGGGCATTTCTATGTCCATGAGGATGATGTCGAGGTCGTGTTTCTTGTCCGGCTTGGAACTGTCTTCCTCGTTGCGCCAATATACGCTGTCTTTGAGCCATTCCAACGCTTCTTGGCCGTTGCCTGCTACGCTGATGTTCCAGCCGAATTTCTGCAGTTGCTTTCTAAGGACCTTTTGGTTGACGAGGTTGTCTTCAACGATGAGTACATTGAGTCTGATGGATTGCATGGCTTCTTCGCCTGTCATGGTACGACGGGGGACGGGGCGAGCTTGCACGGCGCGCGCGGAGACTTGGTCGGCTGGTGGGTGTGCGAGGCGGGTGCTGATGAAGAAGGCAAATGTTGAGCCTTGCTCTTTCTCGGAGTGGACGCCGATGGCACCTCCTTGTAGCTTCGTAAGCGACTTGGAGATGAAGAGGCCGAGCCCTGAACCGCCGTATTTAACGTGCGTGCGTGGTGTGGCTTGCGAGAACCGGGAGAAGAGTTTCTTTTGCTCGTCTGTGGTCATACCACAGCCGGTGTCTTTGACCTTCAGCCAGAGGAATGCTATTTTGCCTTCGCCCCATTCGGCTTTGTCGGTGATGTCTGTCTTGGGCTTCTCATCGTCGGTGAAGGTTATCTCGTTCCAGCACTTAGGTGGGCGGGTCCAGGAGCCACCGATTGTAACGGTGATCGATTTTTGA